TCAGGCCTATATTCAAATATATCTGGCTTCAAAAGACTTTCAAGATGGCCCACAGTAGATTCTGTTATCCAGAATGTTGATTTCAGAGTTGTAGAGCATTCCATCACACATTTTGATACTTTTAAAAAGAATTTTGACCCCCAAAGAATTTATGTCAATCTTTGCAGGCCTTCAGGAATGATCGTTTCCACCTTCCTCGAATAATGCACCCTTCCCAAAACCAAATCAGAAATTGTATGTGCAGGAATCCAGTACAAATGATATCTGCCAGGTGGTTGTATACATTTCCTCTTGAAGGCCTCCAGCATTGGAGGGCTTACCACCTCTCGCGGTCAGGGGTTCCATTGTTGTACTGCTCTAACAGTTGAGAAGTTTTTCCTAATTTTCAACTTCAATCTGGTTTTCTGCCGCTTGAGCCCATAGTTACATGTCCTGCACTCTGGGATGACTGAGAACAGGTCCTGCCCTTCCTCTGTAGGATGACCTTTTAAATCTTTGAAAGGTACTATCCTATCTCCCCTCTGCCTCCTTTTCTCTGGAAACCAACCTGATGGAGACCGCCTTGTGTTTCCCCAGGTTGCCCCAAAGGGTTCTTTGGGAAGCATTGCCGGAAGAAATGCAACTGTGCCAATCGAGGGCGCTGCCACCGGATTTATGGAGCTTGCCTGTGTGAGCCAGGCTTGTACGGACGATATTGTCACCTTGGTAAGTCAGATCTTCCATGGCGGATTCAAGAGAACGCCCGAAATCTCTCCCCACCCATGACGTTTGCCTCGTTGTTCACGTGATTGTTCTCTTGTCCTTCCCTGTTCGATCCCGATCTCTCCTCTTCCACCCACCCCAACTAGCTTGCCCCAAGTGGGCGTATGGCATGGGCTGCTCCGAGGAATGCCAGTGTGTGGAACCCAACACCCAAGACTGTGACAAGAAGGATGGCGCCTGCGTGTGTAAACCTGGTTACTCTGGCCAAAAGTGCCAAATGGGTGAGTTGTGGGTTTGTGCGGGATGCCTCGGCGTGAGGGCTTCAGGTCCCGTGAGCCAACCCATAAAGCCGCCACTGGTAAGACACAACCCAGTAGTAAGTCATCACTAGAGTAAGCCCATTGAATAAAGGGAACCTATAGAGGAGTTGACTCGCCACATCCCCACTGACTTAATGGGTCTACTCCGGTGGTGACTTACTGCTGGATGTCACCCACAGAGTCCAAAACATTTAAAAACTTCCGAAGCTTGGGTGGTGTTCACATGGGTTGGCACCGACACCCCTGTCCCGCAGGGGGGTCTTCTCTGCACAGCTTGGGAATAACACTTTATTTCTCTTTAAGTCCCTCTATTTCTGGGGTGGGAAACCTGTGAGGTTCAAATCATCATCATTACCTGCCGTTAAGTAGGTTCCGTCAGGGTTTACCCTGGGCTTTGTAGGTATAGAGCGCTCGGAAGTATTTTACCCTTCCCTTCCTTTTGGGGGCGCTCTGGGACCTCCACCATTTGCCCAAAGTCACACAGGCTGGCTCTTCTCCCAGAGGAACAGGGGGAGGATCGAACGCGCAACTTTCGGCTCCGTGACTGGATACCTCAACCACTGAGCTAGCTAGCTAGATATTCTAGGGCGGCAATGAGAAATAAGAAGCCAAAGTCTGGCACCTGGTTGTAATATTTTAGTGGTTCGATTAGAGTATTGCATACCCTTCTTTTGCATCTGAATTGGGTCTCGTATTAATTCCCCTTCTAGGAAATTAATTAAACTAAATTAAATTAATTAAATGAGGGTAACCACAGTTGCTCTCTACCGTTCTGACATGGTCAGGAATAAATCAAGACACAACTGCCCTCAGGGGATGTTGACCATCACAAAATTGACCCCCTTCCCTCCTGGTTGTGTTGGTTGTCTAGCTTGACCCCGTTCTCTCTTGTTTTTCAGAATGTGATCCGGGCTATTACGGTCCCGGGTGCCGGAGCAGGTGCAGTTGCCCCGCCGGAGTGCTGTGTGATCATGTGACTGGTGAATGTCAGCAGCATTGCCCCCAGGGGTACCATGGGGAGAACTGCACCGAAGGTGAGACCGGCGTGGGTGGTGAAAGGCGGACTTGGGCGGCGTGTAACTGTCGGTGTGGAGAGTGGAGAGTTTAAGAAGCTGCCTACCTTTCAGTGTTACAGAAATGGGGTTCACAGATGGCTTGCACAGCTAATTGCAGCTAATTGATAAGGGCACAGGGGTGCATGTGATTGAGTGTATGACAAGGACTGAATGGTGCCTGGCACCTCATTGATTAGTCGCAATTAGCTGCAATAACTTACATAGTCCCTTCGTGAATACCAATAAGATTTTAAGCCCAGTTATCTCTTTTGATCTTTAAAACAGTTCTTTCTTGCAGCTGGCTAAGACCTTAAGTGGCAGGTACGGGCAACTGCAGAGAACGGAGGGTCCACACCAGTCCCATTGACCACAGACCAAACCCCACAAATCCCCCCCCCATTTCCAAACAATTTTGCAAAATCACTGGATCATCTACCTTCTAGGACTGTTGTGACGATGAAGTGGAGAAAAGGGTAGCCTCTCACAGATCTTCCGTTTAAAGCAAAAAGCTAAGGCTGAAGATCTTTAGACCACAAATGAGTCCCATCACAAACCCAAAACAAGGGCACAATGAGACATTCTTTCTGTGGCTTAACTTCTACTCCACATAAACACAAGGCCAGAATCCCAGTTGTATATCATATTACTAGCGGTGTGGAAGAAACGAGACACAGAGTTTTAACAGTGTCGGTGTCTACAAACAAGAAAATGCACAATCCTAGCCACAATTGCAAAAATCTTTGCTAGTCCAGGCGTATAGATGTGCATTTGTCAATAAAGGAGTCTCGTTGTGTTTAGTGGATTCAGACCAAGGTCAGCAGAAGTGTCCCCGCTTCCTGCCTTCCGGGAATCAAAAAGCAGAACTCATTAAGTAATTATTCCAAATGTTTGTTTGGGGTAGAGGGTTTATTTGCATGAGCTTCTTGGTGAAGTGGTTAAACTGCAGTGTTGAAAGCCAGCCCGTCTACTTCTGAGTGAGGATTCGAACCCAGGCCTCCAGAGCCCTAGTCCATCACTGTATCCACTACACTACATATTTGCCCACACTTATTTCATTGGGCTCTCTCTCTCTCTGCACAATGCTGTCATTTCCCTTCTTTCCTCATATTTGGCGGGAGTCGAGATGGGAGCCCCCTTTTAGTGGATTCAGACCAAGGTCAGCAGAACTGTCCCCGCTTCCTGCCTTCCGAGAATCAAAAAGCAGAACTCATTAAGTAGTTATTCCAAATGTTTGTTTGGGGTAGAGAGTTTATTTGCATGAGCTTCTTGGTGGAGTGGTTAAACTGCAGTGTTGAAAACCAGCCTGTCTACATCTGAGTGTGGTGGGCTCAGTGATGGGCTAGGACTCAGGAGGTCTGTGTTCGAATCCCTGCTCAGCCATATGGATTGAACCCAGTAGTAAAACCTGCTGTAATCAATCAGTCTTTCTTCCAAGGAAGCATGTACAGTATTAGAACTTTGGTGAATGAACTGACTAGAACTTATGAAAGTAATTAACAAAACACTTATTTCATTGCGCTCTCTCTCTATGCACAATGCTGTCGTTTTCCTTCTTTCCTCATATTTGGCGGCAGTCGAGATGGGAGCCCCGCGTCTCCCAAACGAATTTCTTTGGATACTTTTCCCTCTCGCTTCTTCCCCAATTTCAGCAACATAGAAAGGAGGACGGATTTTCTGAGGTGCCTTCCCCATTTCACACGGTTCTCTTGACGGGCTGTCACACTGGAGCCGTTTAGCCGAGAGAGGGAGAGGGAAGGACGACGTGAGGGAATTTGGAAGCATTTTTTTTAAAAAAAGAAGAAGATGATGGTGGACATTTTTAAACCCTCAAGAAAGGCTTGCAGGAAATAACATGGATTTTTTTTTATGGTCATGTTGAGCTCTGGACTTTGATACAAAATCTGGAAGCTATTAGTGAGGATTCGCATCTGTCCCTAATTAATCGGAAGGAAAGAATGCAGTATATGCCACGGGCGCTTTAGGACTCTAGATTGGTGTGTATGTGTGTCCTACCCCCCCCCACGGCCCCCGGTTTCTTTGAAACCATTGTGATTGTGTTTCCAGAGCATCACACATTCATATTTCGACACTCAGGGACGAAAATAGGTTGGAGAGAACCGCTCTCTTCTGAGCCTGGGAGACACATGAAAGAAATGAGTCGTTGCCAGAGGCAAAGCGTGTCTCTACTCAAAAGTAAGCCCTCTTGAGTTGGGCCGACCTCTGTATGAGCCCAGACATGCATTAGCGGTGGCCTAAAGGAGGCGGGAAGTAAAGGGAGACACAGCTCTCAAGCAAACACTCACATTTCAATAAAGCAAAGCGTGCTGCTTATATACCACCCCACAGCACTTACAGCTCTCTCTGGGTTGTTTAGAATTTAGTTACATAGGCTACACATGCCCCAACCATGGCCAGTGAGCTGGGTATTCAATTTATCGACCTTGGAAGGATGGAAGGCTGACTGAACCTTGAGCTGAGGATCCAGCTGAGCTCCTGAGCAGAGTCTTCAATGCAGTTCTGCCATTTAACCACTGCACCACAAGGCTCCTATACCCATAAGCCCCAGCCTGTATGCCAGTCATTGGGGATGCTCAGAGGCAAACAACGTCTGAAAGCATTCTTGCTCATGATTCAGGCACCTGCGATGGACATTTTCCCGATAGTATGCGCCAGATGATGGAGAAGCTTGTAATGCAGAGTAAATGTGCAAGCCAAACCATAGCCCAGAGTGGAGCCTCAACATGTAATATTTTTGGATTCTTGGGAGCCCGGTGGTGCAATGGTTAAACGGCAATACTGAAGTCCGGTCTCTGCTCACAACCTGAGTTCAATCCCGGTGGGTTCAGGTAGGCATCTCAAGGTTGACCTACGTAGCTTTCCATCCTTCATCATTCATAGGCATCCTTCAGTCTTGAGAGACTATGATAACATGCTCTGTATGGAGGACTTTGATGCTGTATGTGAAGCTGGAATGTCTTCTCCAGAGCACAAAGCCTGGGTAAAATAATATGGAGGATAGGCTGTTACCCAAGCAGCAAATCCCCCCTCTCCACAGCACTGAAATAGCCCAATGGAAAGGCAAGAGCCAATACAACTGATTCCAGCAATGCTCAGGAGTTTCCAGATCGACACGAACTGCCTCCAGGACTCCGGCTCCAGATTTTGCCTCTAGGTTAACTCCTGAAGCCTTTTTCATCAGAGCATATAGCCACAAGACAGTGGAGGTTTGGAATCGGAGTTTTCTTCTCCTAGATGGGCTGCCTTCCCAGGTTAACGAGTCCCACCTACCCAGGCTGATCCGTATGTAAGTTACAACGACAACAAGGTTAAGACTTCCATCTCTGGTCTGAAACAGGACCGTTTGCACATGTTCGCCATAAAAACCATGGCAGGGTCATTCAGATGGTATGCTATTTTTCACAATCGTTCGTTGTTCTGTTATTTTGTTCTTTTAGAATGCCCTGAAGGGACGTTTGGAGTGAACTGTCTCCAATCCTGTACCTGCAGTGGTTCCCCTTGCAACCGCTTCAGTGGTCAATGTCATTGTGCAGCCGGGAAGACAGGCGCAGATTGCAGCCAAGGTGGGTCCAGGGAGTTTGAAGGTCACCAGCTTTGAACTGGAGAACAGTTGGGTCATAGGGAAAAAAGGGGTGGAATTCCTCATATGAGAAAGCAGAAGAAGAACGGCGAATTCCCAGCCGTGTTTCCACATGGGCTAGGTAAGAAGAAATAAATCCAGGTCTACTTGACGCATCTGATCTTTAGAAAACCCTATACAAAACAACCAGATCCAGACCTATTTGGGTCTCAAAATACAGCTATCTACATCTTAGAACTGCAGAGCTGGAAGGGATCCTGTAGATCATTGAGTCTAGCCCCTGCCAAGAAGTCATAATGGGGAATCGAACTCCCAACCTAAGCCACTGAGCTGTCCAGCGGTTCATAGCTGATCTCATCCTTCTGTTCTACCATAACACAATTCTAGATCATTCCAAATGCATCAAATCGCACCTTTAAACATGGATTTGGAGAGCGATTGCATAAATACTTTGAACGGTTGTCTACATAGAAACACATTTTTAAAAAAAGCAACCACTGTGTATTGCAAAATGGATAGCTTACAACATAATACACACCAAATGTGCCTTGTTTATGGGAGGTAGGAGTTGATATCCATGTGCGACTTTTTGTGTGAGGTTTAAAATCGACGGATGCGGAGATGAAGCAGGGCGAATTTTATGGACGAAATTCATGTTGTCCAGATGTTCATCGCTGCTGCAAGATTACACCAGCAGGGATGAATGTAAGGGTGATGACGTTAGAAAAATCTCTAGGAGGAGCCCTGTTCCCACGTCTTTTGTGTTCACATGCCTTCCCTCGTGACCGGGGGGGGGGAGCAGCAGTCAATACATTGAAGTCTAGCTGTGTTGATGAAACACGGAGAGAAGCAAGGTCTTCTGAGAAGGAACCTGAACATCGTTCTTTGCCCAATCTCCGATTTCTCTTCTCTTTCACCTTCTCCCTCTCTTCCTTGATTTAGAGTGCCCTGAAGGTCGCTGGGGGCAAGGATGCCAAGCAATCTGCCCAGAGTGCAAGAACAACGCTCGTTGCGATCCCCAAACGGGTGTGTGCCTCTGCTCACCTGGATACACGGGCAACCATTGCCAAGATGGTAAGCATCTCCTTTCTTTTGGCCCGGTTTCTAAGCAACTGAAGATGCTTCATTCTGGATTGGTGAAACTTCTCAGCATCTTGCTGAAGCAAGACTCCAGTCCTGTTAGTTCCCTTTTATTTCCATTGATTGTGTTTGCTTTTGAACAGAAACTTCCAAACTCTTTATTTCCAGCATGCTGCCATTTTTCTGTCTACCGCTTTTGCAGCTTGACATTATGCCCACGTAGCTATGCAACAGGATTTCACGCCAAAGAGACAGATCGGTCTATCCCTCTTTGCCTCCCTGAACAGAAATCTTAGGATTTTAATGTAGAGCTTATTTTCATTCAAGCTGAGGGTGGAATTCAAGGCATACAGGTCAAAAACATAGCTTTATTTTCTTTTCTTTTTCCCCCTCCTCTTCTTGTAGTGTGTCCTCCTGGATGGTTTGGACAGGATTGCCAAGTGCACTGCAACTGTGGGAATGAAGGATACTGCCACCCCGAGACTGGGAGGTGCAGTTGTGCTCCTGGGTGGACAGGTTATAATTGCCAAAGAGGTACTGTGTGCTCTTTATTGCTATGGCTTTTGGGCAAATGGATCAGGCCCTTTCCTAGGAGTATAGAGGGACCTGGTATTTGCAGGGTTGAAGCTCTAAGTGAGTACAGAGGAGAGGCAGGATCTGTTCTTGATCATCCTGGAATGCAGGATGCGGAATAATGGTCTCAAGCTGCAGGAAACTTGATTTCGGTTGGGTATCAGGAAAAACTTCCTTAACTGTTAGAGCAGTACGACAAGGGAACCCATGACCTTGAGAAGTGGTGAGTGCTCCAATACTAAAGGCATTCAAGAGAAATGTATACAACACGTGGCAGATATCCTTTGATTTGTATTCCTGCCTTGAGCAGGGGGTTGGACTCGATAGCCTTAAAGGCCCCTTCCAACTTCATTATTCTATGATTCTTCTGAATTAATTTGAAGACCAGAGGATTCTTCACCTTTGGCTTTCATGCTGTTCTGTGTTTTGTTCTGAAGTTCATGTGTAAAAAATAAACCAACAAAATAAAATCAAGGACCTCAACCCAACTGTTCTTGAGTGGTTGGATCAGTAGCTTTGTCAACACATGTGTAAACCCATTGATGCAACTGATCTACTATAGTCATGATTGCCAGCTGGATTCAGGCCATAAAGAAATATGTTTGGAAAAATGTGGTTTATCATACAGTACATTCAGAAATGTGCGAATTCAAGTAAAACACATTTAAACGTGAGTTTCCACAGTGTGTGAATTTTAACAAAAATATGTGAAAAATACAAACATTTGTGCAGTCTGAATATTTAATATTTTAAATTTTCAGTAATATGGATAGGGGAATGGGAAATAAATGTATGCAAAAAACACGAGGGGTTCACTGGCTACTGCCTTTTATTAGGGCTTTTAACCACTGGCCTGATATGCCCAAATTTGTTTTAATTTTGTGTCATTTTATTGAATTGCAGGTTTTTAGCTATGACAGGGTTTTATTTATGTTGTGGCATTTTGTATTGTCGATCTTAATGTGACTGACATGCTGTGAACCACCCAGAGAGTCTTCTTACCTATGGATATTGATAGGTTTATTCTATTTTTCATTTCTTCTATATAGCACTCCATTCGTGCACACGCTGCTGCAAGCGGTTTACAAGTATAAAAGACTAGCAAGTGGAATACAAATGCAAAAAATAGGTGATCCCTTTATAGACCACTCAGAAGTCATCGTACAATGAAAAGAACTTTTGTAGAAGTCGAATTAAGTCTGGGAATGTGCTGATTCATCTTGGAATTTTTCTTCCTTGCTCTGTTCATACTGTTTGAAATTTAAGATGAATAAAACAGCCATGGGAATGATGTCTCCATTTTCTGCTTCTAGCCTGTGATCCAGGACGCTGGGGTCCGGACTGTGCCAACGTTTGCAACTGTAGCAACAGCGATGGGAGCTGCAACACCAGGACAGGACAGTGTATCTGTGAGGCTGGCTACACCGGGACCCAGTGTGATCAGAGTGAGTGCTACCTTAAGGCAGCTTTACCACCAAACTCTCGTGCATGATCTGTGTGCTTGCTGGGGAGTAGCATTCACATGTAATGGAGTGGGTTGCCCGGAAGAGTTCTCTGAGCTGTGGCATTCCATTCTCTAAGTCACTGGTTCCCAACCTTGGGTCTTCCCACAAGTTCTTGGACTAGAACTCCCAGAAGGTTTCACCATGAGCGGTGCTGGCCCGGATTTCTGGGAGTTGTAGTTCAAGAACATCTGGGGAATGCAAGATTGGGAAGCCCTTATCTCGACCCATGGTTCCCTACCTTGAGGGGAAAGTAAAGTGACACGTTATTCTGAAAACAAGCGAAGTCCCTTAAGGGGGTGACGCAGGAGAAGCCTTAGCAGCTTAACTTGGGGCCTGCCAACTCTCCAGCCCATTTACAATTCTCTTCCTTTGTCTTCCCCCCTTGTTTAATTTTTGTTTTTCCCAAGAGTGCCCTGAAGGCTGGTTCGGTCCGAGCTGCCGGCACAGATGCCAGTGTGACCACGGAGCCGCCTGCGATCATGTCAGTGGGGCATGCACCTGCGCCCCTGGATGGAGAGGGACATTTTGTGAGCGCTGTACGTACTCAGAAGCTGAGCCTTATTCTTCTGTATCCTTTCTTCTTCTTCTTCTCCATCAGAGAAATATCTCTTTTGCATCCTCTGCTTCTTTCTTGCTTGCTTGATTCTCGCTTTTCTCCCCTGCAGTGCTCAGCCTCTCTGTTCACGAATGGGCAGGGAATTCTGGATCTTTCTTAACACCTTCACGCCCCAGATGGAGGGTTTGCTGTGCATCCTGAATTCATGTAGCCGATCAGACTAGCCTGCACTGTGACAATGCAAAGCCCATTCAGAGCAAGAATGGGGCTTCCTGGATCAGTCGGCCCTCGCTCAGAATAGGCAAACACATTCACTGGCAATTTTAGTGCCTTCTCAAAATTTTCTGCAGGGGGAATGTGCTTTTAACAACCAAAAAAACTTTTCACCTACCTACCTACCTACCTACCTACCTACCTACCTACCTACCTACCTACCTACCTACCTACCTACCTACCTACCTACCTACCTACCTACCTAACGCCTGCCCAAATTACAAATCATTTCTCTAATCCAATTTTTAAGTTAGAAGCTTTCAAATTAACTCATAAAGGCTTTCCCTTAGTGTCCGAGAGGGGTTATGAAATAGAGCATTGTGTCTTGTTGCTTTGAATGTGTTTTTGGTGTTGATTTTGTTTACCTTTTTGGCCTGGTATTTGTATTATTCTTTTTAAATACGTGTAGGCTTGTTGGTTTTGGCTTTTAAATGTTGTCTTTTAATAATGTTATCCCCCTTAGGTGCCTTTTTAAGGAGAAAGGCAGGGTAAAAAACTATTTTAAATAAATAAAATAATATAAATATTGGCTATAAGATCAAATTGCAACTAAGTGGCTACAGTGTAGTCTTTCTGCCACTTCTGTTTATTAGCCTTAGAATGGAAATTTCAGTGGTAAGGTTCTTGAGCCAGGCATCGCTTCTCATGGAAGTAAAATTTCCAGGATGATGTGGTTTCATGAACTGAATGTTGATGATACATTAAAGAACTGATGATACAGTTCTGGAAACCACACTTCAAGGAGGATGCTGACGAATTGGAAGAAGTTCAGAGGAGGATCAGGGAGCTGGAAATCAAGCCCTAAGAGGAGAGACAGAAAGATCTGGGCATGTTTAGCCTTGAGCATAGAAAACTTGAAGGGTGATATGACAGCACTTTTCAAATCCTTGCAAGGCAATCATACAGAGGAGGGGCAGGAACTGTTCTCGGTCATCCCAGAGTGCAGGACATGCAATAATGGGCTCAAGTTATAGGAAGCCAGATTTCAGTTGAACATCACAAAAAACTCCTTAACTGTTAGAGCAGTACGACAACGGAACCAATGACTTTCGGAGGTGGTGAGCGCTCCAAAACTGGAGGCTTTAAACATAAATTTAGACCACCTCCTGGCAGATATCCTTTGATTTGTATTCCTGCATTGGGTTGGACTCAATGGCTTTAGAGACCCATTCCAACTTAATTACTCAATGATTCTAAGATTGTAATATGTTTAATGAATGAAGCTGGGCGGGACACCATGACTGGCTAACAGTATGTGACTTAAATTGGGGAATTCTTGATCTGTGTGATTGGCATTGCACCTACTAGCTGAGTTGATATCAAGGGGGAAAACGGTTGTGCTTCCAGCCTTTGGATTCCCAACGTGGCATAGGGATAAATTGATGGACTAGGACTCGGGAGAGCAGGGTTCAAATCCCCACTTGTCCATGAAAACGTACTGGGGGAGGGAGTGGAAATAGTAAAACCACTCAAATATTTCACTTACCTTGAAAGTCCTATTTAAGGTCACTATAAGGACCTCTCCCTTGTAGGCATGGCTCCGTTACATTGCTTTGGAGTAACTGGGGCCCAGGGTCTTTCACACCAAAGACAAGATGATTTACAAATTTACAAATCTTTACAAATTTGTAAATTTTACAAATATGTAAAGATTTGTAAATTGTACAAATTAGTAAAGATTTGTAAATTGTACAAATTAGTAAAGATTTGTAAATTGTACAAATTAGTAAAGATTTGTAAATTGTACAAATTAGTAAAGATTTGTAAATTGTACAAATTAGTAAAGATTTGTAAATTGTACAAATTAGTAAAGATTTGTAAATTTTACAAATCTTTACAAATTTGTAATATTTACAAATCTTTACACATTTCTTACACGTAATTCACTACATTGAAATTCGGGTTTTGTGCCCTCATTTTTATCAGTTTCTACTGTGGGCCATCTTGAAAGTCTTTTAATCTTCCATGGTTGCATCCTGTAGAATCCTGAAATTTATCGTCTGGTGGCAAAGGCTTCTGGGAGTTTGAGTCCAAGAACATCTGGGGATTCCAAGGCTGGGAGCCACCGGTGTAGATGCATCCTTGAATGACTGTATTTGTTTCTCTTTTCCCAGCTTGCCCTAAAGGCTTCTTTGGCGTGGACTGTCGAGGGAGCTGCCATTGCCTGAATGGCGCCAGCTGCGATCATGTGACAGGACGATGTGTTTGTTCAGCCGGGTGGATCGGCCCAAGCTGCAACCAAAGTATGCCCCCATGCCAGGTGCCCTTTTACGTCTCTGGGCTGTGCAGGGAAGCCGCCACTCACTCCTCTCTCTGTGCCCCACAGCTTGTCCCCCCCAGCACTATGGGGAGAACTGCACCCAGGGATGCAGCTGTTTCAATGGGGCTACCTGCAACCCCATTGATGGGCAATGTGTTTGTGCCCCCGGATGGATGGGAGACAGCTGCCAGCAAGGTATGGGTTGGCAGAATCTTTCTTTTCTTCTAAGGGAGGTCCAGAATTTCACTGGAGTTTTTTGTTGGCTTGTTTGTTGTTAGATTTGTTCTCTTTTGTCATGCCACTCTCCCAAAAAGGGAAGGCAAATTTGCTGATTTGATCTCCTGGCTTCTGTTTGCCTAGTGGTGAGGTCTGCCTTTTTCCGGAACAGGAAACTCTCCTCTTCAAATGTGTCTCTTCTCATGTGGAGACAGCAATGGAAAGGAAGGGCTACCTTAAAAGTACACAGGAAAAAACAGTGACCATTTGCATCCTTGCAAAATCAGCACAAAAATATTCCCTCTTTTCCTTGAGGCCAATCTTGCAGAGGTGGGCGGAAAATACTTTGCCCTATTGCAGGTGAAGAGCAAAATGTTCCCGTTTCTCAAACAAGAAAAGGGGACAAACAATATGGGATGTTGTCCCTCTCAGTTTTGAGATCCCTGTGCAAAACCTACCATCAGAGTGAAGGCACTGGTGCAACTTCTTGAGTTTAAATTTGATAACTTATAGGGCCTGAATCCAGCTTGTGCTTTATTCTTTCGCAACTGAAATGGGATAAAGTGCGGTCGTAAATTGCTCCTCATGAAGGAGGTGCTGGTTGCATTTCAGTGCACAAGACCAGGAGCGCAACCCGTACTTTGTTAAGGAGCGCTAGTTGGCAGTTGCGCCTTAACCCCATTTTCTTTGTGCAAGCTGCAAATTGCCAAGAAATCCCACCACCCTCTATTTTGTCCCAGCTTGAGATGTTCTTTCCGCTCAGTTGTGATCGGATTCTTCTTCTGTTTCCCTAGCGTGCCCCGATGGCTTCTATGGCTCAAACTGCCAGCTGCGGTGCCTGTGCCAACATGGCGGAGTGTGTGACCCAGTCACAGGGCACTGCGTATGCCCTGAAGGGTGGACCGGATTGGCCTGTGAGCTGGGTAAGGCAATCCCAAGGGCCCATCAGCAAAAGTGTGTGCATGTGAAAGGAAACAAGAGTACTGTATTTTTCCGTGTATAAGACTATACTTTTGTCTAAAATCTTTAGACTAAAAATTGAGGGTCGTCTATACACGGAAGCAAGATGAGGAGAGAACAAAAACAAGTGGAAGGGGAAAGCAGGGATTAAAGTGATCCTGCATGGGCTTTGATCCCTGCTTTCCCCTCCACTTGTTAAGCCCCACTTAGATTTCTTAAATTTGGGTTAGAATAGTGGGGGCGTTTATACATGGGAGCATCTTATACACGGAAAAAATGTGGTATTTTCCCCTTCCCTGATCAGTTGGAGAATGATATTAGAAGTGGGATGGGGTGAATTTGTGGATGAAAACATGCCCAAGTATCACGAATGAGAACTAGAGGCTTCATTAGTCAGGCCTCTTACAAGGACCCATGTAAAATCTCTCTGGCCCATTTCACAAGTTCCAGACTCTCTCTTCCACTGCTTTGTTTACTTAGAAAATTGCCCATAAAATGCGGCGAGGCAATTCAGAGAGTCCTGGGTAGGGATGGGGTTCTCAGGATTCAAAGACTCCTGGGCTGCAGAGTTCTCCCTGCTTCCCTCTCCCCCAAAACAACCCTGTGAGGCAGGCTGAGGGGACGCGTAGTCCAAGGTCAAACCATGGAATTCACAGCTAAGCTGACATTTGAACGCAGATCTGGATCCGAGTCCGACACTCTACCCCGCACTGGTTCTAAGTTACATTTCAAAAATCGTGTAGCCAGTAGAGTGGGAGCCCTTGGATTCTAAAAACCCCATCCCTACCCCTTGGACCGCTTTTTCTGTCCCAGATTAGAGAGGGACACTGGTTTGGAGGTTCATGCCAGTTCATTTAGTGGCCTGTCAGATCTTGGGTGCATCCAAGCCCTGCCTCCTCTGTCAGGCGCCCACTCAGTGGCAGCTGCCTGGCTTCCCTGCCCTGCCTCCACTGGGCACTGCCCCTGAGTGGTCGCCTGACAGAGGAGGCAGGGCTGGGAAGCACTGAACACCTGTTTGGCCACTAAACGAACCGGCACAAACTGTCGAACCAACAGTTCATGACCACCTCTACTTCTGATACCCTCCAACGGCCACATAGAGTAGCAAAAAAATGCTGGAGAAGAGCACATTTGTGGAAAATGGGGATTTGGGGAGTGTCATAGACCACATGGGGGCCCTAATTAAAAGGGGGAATAACCCCTTTATTGCTAGATAGAATTGGGGAGGTCCAGGAGGAGGTACAAAGCTCCCTTGGGATGGCATCATCCTCTCAACCCTGTTTGAGACTGAGATGGAACTCTTCCAAGGCATGGAATATAAATATTTTAAGTGCCGTTAGGGGAGCATTCAAATATTGTGTTTTTGCTCCTCTGTGTTGTGAAATGTTACAATCCCAGGAGGATGCCTTTTCTCACCTTAAACCTCTATCCCCCCCCCAGCGTGTGCCCACGGAAAATATGGCCCTGACTGCCGAGAAAGCTGCCATTGCCTGAACGGAGGACGGTGCGACCAGAAAGCCGGGCGTTGCCTTTGCCGCCCTGGGTGGCAGGGAGATAAGTGCCAAACGGGTAAATAGAAAGTATTATGGGTAGCACTCATGAGGGCGCAGCCTTCGGTGACTTTCCACCCTTTTGAACGGGGTCAAATCCTTCAGAAACGGAAGGAGAGAGAAATGCGGGCTTCTCCTTCACCAGAATGGTGGGGCTCCTCCCATACGGAAAATGCACTGTTTTTGTGGTTAATTGGCATTTTGCGATGACATGAAACTGTAGTTAAGGCTGGTGCTTTTAAAGAGGATTTTAAGGCTCTTTTTTTTTTTTTTTTGCTTCTAAAAGATTTCAAATGTTACATTGCCCCCTTTTCAGTGGCCAGGGAAGCCTTGTTTTGTAGGGTTTTTCACGCAAAATGTCAAAATCGGACCCCATTTTCCTGTATTTTTGTTGGTAGCTAGTAAAGCTGATGCAGGCATACATTCAATTTTGTGAACCCGGTGACTTTGATGATATTGAAAATCTTATTGATTTGAAGTCCTAATAGTGAGATCTTTTTTAAAAAATAACATCCCATGATCCAGAAGTAGATGGACTACAGCTACCATCATCCACGACGACTAGCCCTGCTGTCTGAGATGATGGGAGTTGGAATTCTTCCAGGTTGCAAGAGCCACAAAGCTTCCGAGCTTCAATCCAAGGGCAGGCTGCCCCAAACGGATGTCTCGGGCCCTTTTTTTCTTAGCATGCGTTTGGAATTTCCCAAGGACAATTACGACCGGCTTTGCCCGAAAATCTGGTTCCAGTTATCATTCCCATTTCCCAAACGCCCGGAGCACCGAGCTTTTAAAAGCTCCTTCCCGGGGCCGGCTCAGCGCCATCAAGCAGCTGCGCCAGCCTAGACTATTTTTGCCTTGGCGAGGGGCCATTGATTCCTTCTGTCCAAGGTGAGAGCCAGATTGTGAAGCCCAGAGTGGATTTGGCCAGCTCTTGGGGGGCAACCGTGTGTCTCGTAAGGAGAGCCACGCTCCTTGAGTTACCAACCCTCCCCCCCCGTTGGGAATCGGGCACCATCAGGATACGAGCTGATGGTCCACAGCCAACCCACCCCCAGTGTTGATCTTGCGGTGTTGCCATTTCGCGACGAAGCCTTTAATCTCTGCTCCAAAGCCCTTCGGGGGCCTCGGGACAAACAGTTTCCAGCGAGGGCCTTCACCCGGAAAAGGCTTGCGGCCAAGATTATTATTACAATACGTTGTGCAATTTCTCTGTGGGTGTTCTGCCTAGCAGGTTGGGCACAGCCCTGTGTCTAAAGCCTAGAAAGAAGACGTTCTCACAACTCAAGTGACAGGTGTTTTTTTTCCTGCTTTAAATGTGTTTCGATGTTGCTTTTGCTGACAGTTTTTTTTAGTGTGGTCTTCGTTTGATCCTTTTTACCCCGTTCCCCTCCAAAATAAGACCTAACCTGAAAATAAGCCCTTAAACAGAGATTAACGGACATGGAGAGACAGGTAGATCTTAGTAGATGCCCCAATTTTAGAGTGACAGACATGCACAAATATCGCCAGCACCTCACGGCTTGAGACGCATAAGTTTAGAAAAGCCTTTACTCTGGCTAGATGTGAGGCTTTCCCTTCTGTGGTGTTGGAAGGCAGATTTAAGAAGATCCCGAGGGAACAGAGATTCTGCCCTTCTGGATCTGACGAGGTAGAATCTATTGAGCATATGATGCTCAGAGTCAATAGGCACAATAAGATCCGAGGAAAATATATTACACCTCTCCTAAAAGATATGGTAGGTCAATCGGATTATTGTAACCAATTGTTAATTGATCAAAATCGGACTACTATGGAACTGGTAGCAAAATTTTCTGCGGCATGCCATAGGGTTAGTAGGCCAAACCCTTAGACCTTGGTCTTATATTGCTATATTTGTTGTTTTAGATATTTTGGTTTTTTTGTTTGTCTGGTTTGGCTTTTTGGCAGGATATGACAGCTCCTGAAGTTTTGTATTCAATTTTGTCTTATGTATGGGCTTGATGCCGTAACAATAAAGGATGTGTGTATGTACTTTGGGTCAAAAAAAAGCAAACTCCCACTTCAGGAGCGAAAGCTTGGTTTTAAATGCCCGGGATCATGATTAATCATCTCCTGGCATAGAAACACCATGGACTGAAGCCAGGAATAACACTTCCCAATATATTTGGTGCTGTTTGAGGGAGAGCTTTTCACACCCAAATAAGTTGTGTGTGTATGTGCTGAGAAAAAGAGAGCAGTAATGCAAAACACGGCTTGATTTTTAATTCTTGATGCTTCCTGTCCTTCGGCCTTGGTCAGCATTTCCTTAACTCTCCCCAATGCCAGCTCCCCTCATGCCTGAGACCTTTTCTCTGGCACAATTCCTGCAGAGAACTTTATACCTCTGAGCTCTCAAAGGGAAGAGGTGCATAGGAAATAAACGTCACCCTTCCTTTTAGCACCACGGCTTCATTGGCGAGGAAGAAAAACTTACCTCCCACTGGTGAACAATATGGCACAGAAATCAAGATTTACAGAACAACTGAAATAATTCACCTTTATTGGCCAAGTTGTTTGATCTTCTCTCCAGCCATACCTCCGAAGCAGAGTGTAGAAGAATTTTGTGGCGATAACTTTTTTTTCATGGTGATATAGAAATGCGATTTTAAGTAGAAATCTATTTGCTACCTGGAAAATTCTGGGGATTCTCGTAAGCTTGTTTGAGAGAGAATGGCATACAGCCTAGAAAAAAACTTGTCCGTAGGCTTTTAAAAAGGGCTTCTTAAAAAATAACTTCAGACAAAGAACATGGAACATGTTTCTTATTACGCCAAAAGCTAAAGATCACACTGAAATGAACCCGTCGTTTGGGTTTCTTGTGTATTTGTACACTAAAAATAAATGTAGGTATAAAAATGCTGCTCAGCTGCTCGGCACTGTTTTAATTGAATCTTTTTTAAAAACAAAAAAAATCAATTAATCAAATCCTGCTGAACATTTCAAGCTCATTTTTCAACTCTTTTAAAATCTCCACAGCTTGCCCTGCAGGTTCCTATGGAGAAGAGTGCAAAGAGCGTTGCGACTGTGAGCATGGTGTGTTGTGCCATCACATCACGGGAGTTTGTGACTGCCCAGCTGGGTGGCGAGGACGTCACTGTGAGAAAGGTGAGGCTATCTGACCCCCCTTATTTGGTGGCCTTTCTGGGTGGGTTAGAAGTAAGCTGATCCATCATTCTGTCTGGTTGCAGTGGGTTTAGCTAGAAAGCAAAGAAAGAGTTCAGTGAGTATCAGACTGTATTCGACAACTCAATAGGCCCTAGAGGTACTCTTTATTTGGCCCCTTGTGTCACCTGACCTTGGTGAGTGGATATCTGTAATACCACCTTCCAACCAAGGGGGGCACTAAAGTGCAGCCCATCAGAATGATTCAAAACATCTGCTCATCTCTCTTTGTAAAACAATCCAGGTTCATACAACCGAGGTTGTTGCATGGATTCATAAATAAAATTAAACGTCTAGGTGCCAAAGTGTAACCATATTCCCTGATTTCGGGATTAAGCAGTTAACTCTGGTACATTTTACTGAATCTCACCAATTAAAGGATTCTTACTAAATCACTCATTCTCAATGAGACCGGCTGTCCAGACACATTGAGACAAGCTCTTGTAAACTCTGGTGTGGTTTCTGGCTTCCAGCAGGAGAACAAGACAGAAGTGGGGGAGAAGCATTGCTGGAGGTTTCCACCAGGGGTACAAACTGTCAATTCCAAAAACTCAATGTCTTTGCACACACAGAGGAAGCCCCGAAGGATGGCTGATTCTCCCAAAAGATGCAGATTAACCCGTCTGATGCTTATAATTTATAAAGTTTCATGCAATGACGTTGCAACTATTTTAGGTCAAGTTCCATAATGTGGTCGTTCTTCATTGTCTGGTGAACGTTGTCCTCACAATGTGAAAACTCTCATTGAGTCCTATAAAATATATCACACTGTTTTGCAGCTAAAGGACAGTAGGTGTGAGGTGCACAGCAGTTATCCAGATGTGTCTTCCAGCTATAAATAAATGGAATCATTTATGGCAGTTGGCTTATCATACCCTGGTTTTAAAGCTCCTTGAAGCTAACTTATGGGCCCCATGTGGCTTAGGAGGCAGAACAGGCAGCCCAATAAATTAAATAAATAAAAGCATGGTTTTTATGGTTATGTTGGTAAACCCTTTGAGATAAAGGCCGATCAAATCTGTGTTTTGTAAACTGCCGTGTATATGAATGGTTCTAAACAGAAGACATGTGTGGTAGTCATCTACAAAATTTAGCACATGATAAAATGTGCAGGTGAGAAGAAAGGCTTGCATTGACTTCTCTGTGTGTAATAATGTCGAAAAAATTATTAGAAAAAAATGGCAAATATTTTTCCCTTGCAATTAAAGCGGGGGCAAAGTGGCATCTGGCTTGCAGTGCACCCTGTAATTACTTCAAGGAGGGATTTGTACAATTAGTGTTTTAAAAAACCCACAAATGATCCATTCATGTATAAATGTAGCTCTCCTTCCCCTTGACATGCTAGATTTCTGCATGAGGGGATTTTCAATTTTTTTGCTTTGTTTTCAGTTTTGGGGGGAACTTTCAGTCATGGAACCTGCCTAAAAGCTGTGGTGGTATCATGGTTAGCACTCCCACATGGACTAGGCTATGTTGTCTTCTCTGACCAATGGATCTTTACTTGACCAGGAGCCACATTATGCCAAATTGGGTGTGTGTGCTTGTGTACACAAGATGCACCGTAGTCTCTTTGGAAGGGGCCAATAAGACCATCGAGTCCAACCCCCTGCTCGGTGCAGGAGTCCAAATCAAAGCCAGTCTGATGGAAGGTTGTCCAATTTTCTCTTGAATGCCTCCAGGGTTGGAGTGCTCACCACTTCCAGAGGTCATGTGCTCCTTTGTCATACTGCTCTTACAGTTAGGACTTTTCCCCTGATAGTCAGCCTAAATCTGTCTTCCTATGTATTAGGAAAAAATGTCTTAACTGTTAGAGAAGTACGACAAAGGAACCAATATTTTCCTTTAGCCTGTCCATGCAAGCCCATAGCTTCGTCCCTGTATACCGACATCCTCAGGAGCAACATGATTGTTGTGCTTTGGGAGGCCTACACCCTCTTCAGAAAGCTTTGTAATGCCCCGTGGCCCTAAAGAACTGTAAGTAAGCGATCCCTCTGTTTCTTCATCTGATGGGGCTCTTCTGTGGTGTTCGGGCAGTAGAGTAACTGAGTCTACAGAACGGAGCCTTGCTGATTCTTGGTGAGGACCAAGGAACGGATCCATCATAAACATTATACAAGCAGAGGAAAACACGGTAGAGGGAAACAGCCAAACTTTGTGAGGAGAGGTGCAGCTTTCTCTCCAAAAAGTTGGCATGTTATAAGTTTTTTCAGTTGGATGGCCACCCAGCCAGGAAGCAGGGGGAAAAATCCGCAGGAAATTAAAGCCTTTCTGAATATATCCAGTAATAACACAATGTCTCTATTTTTAAAAACTAAGCCCTGTGAGGAAAGACTGAAAGAACTGAGCAGGTTTAGCCTTGAGAAAAGAAGACTGAGGGGAGAGAGGAGAGCACTTTCCAAAGATACAGTATACCGAGGCGGGGCAGGATCTGTTCTTGATCAACTCAGAGTTGAGGACACGTAAGAATGACCTCAAGTGACAGGAAGCCAGATTTAGGCCAAATATCAGGAAAAACCTCCTGTTAGAGCAGTATGACAACGGAACCCCATGACCTCAGGAGGAGGTGAGTGCTCTAATGCTGGAGACCTTCAAGAAAAAATTGGGCCACCTTTTGTCAGATCCGCTTGGACTTACATTCCTGTAATGAGAAGGTGATTGGACTTGACTGGGCTTATAGACCCCTTCCAACTCCATTTTTAATGATTTTTGCAATAAAACATCTCTGCTCAGAGATTGCCCGCCATGCTAAGTTGTAGACTTCTAGGAACTGCAGCCGAAAAAAGGAAACTTTCCCCGTCTCCGTTCCTGCTTCCTTGCCAATCGGATGGGGTAAAAGCATTGATTCCATGTCCGTTGTTCCTGGTGCTGAGTCCCTTTGCTTTGTATCTCTCCGCGGCCACAGCCTGTCTGCCTGGTTCTTTCGGGAAGGGTTGCACTTCCGGCTGCGACTGCCCGCCAGGAGCGCCATGCCACCACGTCACAGGGGAATGCAGCTGCCCTCCGGGGTTCACCGGCCACGGGTGTGAGCAAGGTAAGTTGCAGGTTCTCTAGCAAAGAGCGTGTGGGAGAGTCTCGGGTTTCTATCCACAGCTGGAAAGAGCTGGGGAATTTACCTAAATATAGCTTGTACTCAGTTTGTGGACAAAGGGGGGGGTCTCATCTCATGTGGTGGTTCCAGGGCTGCTGGGGAGGGAGGCAAGACAGAGGGTGGTCTAGTTTTCTCTTGAAGGCCTCTATCGTTGGAGTGCTCGCCACCTCCTGTGGTCATTGGGTTCCATTGTTGTACTACTCTAACAGTTAGGAAGTTTTCCCCTTATATTCAGCCTAAATCAGCCTTCCAGTAGTTTGATCCCGTTATTACGGGTCCTGCTTGCTTGCCTTGAGTTTTAGTGTCCATTGCCCCCATCTTGTCATTATACCATTGTTTGGTAATTAAGGAAAATAGTCAAAAGCTGCTGTGTAGCATCAAGTCACTTCTGATGCGGGGCGACGATAGGAGTTACCGACTTCCAAAATGCGCTGCCATTAACAGCTCTGCCCAGATAACTGCAAAACCAACAGCGTCTGAGGTGCGGTTCTTCTCTCTTCCCACTGCCCCAAGCGATATTGTCGTTTCCATTAAGTCTCGCTCAGATCTTGCAAACTGATAGTGGTGGCGGCTTCCTCCTCGAGTCAACCCATCTGACGTCTTTTCCTACTGCTCCACCCACTTTCCCAACAATATTGTCACTTCTGTATTTGCATTATATGCGCATGGTAGGATAGTCTCAGGTTAGTCGTTTTTGCTTGAGAGAGAACTTTTCTGCTTTTCCGCTGTATTTGCATTATATGTGCATGGTAGGATAGTCTCAGGTTAGTTGTTTTTACTTGAGAGAGAAACTTTTCTGCTTTTCCATCTGTTCTTTTGTTTCTGTACGTAGTCGCACAAGAGGATTTTGGCCAGTTTCTGGATGTTTTTAATGAGCTCCAAACCTCTCCGACCATCGTTTCCTCAGAACCAAAGGCGTTGCTATTTTCCTTTGCATTATATGTGCATGGTAGGATAGTCTCAGGTTAGTTGTTTTTACTTGAGAGAGAAACTTTTCTGCTTTTCCATCTGTTCTTTTGTTTCTGTACGTAGTCGCACAAGAGGATTTTGGCCAGTTTCTGGATGTTTTTAATGAGCTCCAAACCTCTCCGACCATCGTTTCCTCAGAACCAAAGGCGTTGCTATTTTCCTTTGCCGCCAGCCCTGCCATTGGCCCTCCCTAAATGGCTGCAAAGTGCAAAAGGACATGTGTCTCAAACTCACACTGCTTATTGTCCAAACTGGTGCCACTTTGACACTAGTGGCTTTTCCGAAAACCACGCTCTGGAATTTCTGCACGAGTGTCTTCTGCTGTGAACTGGGATTATGATCCCAACCACCCTTGACTTTCTCTCCCCCCCCCCCGCACAGCTTGTCTGCCAGGGACCTTTGGACAGAACTGCGCACGGATTTGCCAGTGCGCCGGCGTGAACCATGACTGCCACCCAGTGACCGGGGAGTGTATCTGCGCACCAGGCTTCCATGGCACCAACTGCCGGCAAAGTGAGTTGACGAGCCGAGTATTGTCCATGCCAGAGGACAGACTGGTACCCCTCTGGGTTTACTTTTATTTTTTTATTTTTGGCCTACAATTCCCATCATCTCCAAAGAGAGGGATGATGGGAGTCGTAGTCCAGTGACCTCTGGAAGAGCACTGTTGCCCACGCCTGCTCTGTACTGACTGGTTTTAGGCAAGGTCTTTTCCTTCCTTGTTAGGAGATCCCATAGGACTCCCTGTATGGAGAAGATCTACCACTGATCTATTGATGCTCTCAGTGATATGAACTTGCTGATACGTATATCAGGTCAGAACAATGATTTTCCACACGGGCAACACACATGGATTCTGGGAATAGATGGATCCTGCTTTTCACGTGTTCTTCTCAGCCCTGTTTGGAGATGCAGGGAGAAGGGACTTAGTGCGGTCTAAATGCAGAGTCCGGCTTACACTGCCACCTGGTGACCAAAGTACATATGACATTATCCACACGATCTTCTCCCAGCAATTTCTGAATGACTTCTGAGGATTCTTAGGCATTGGTCTGTGGAAGCTCACATTAAAATATAGGCGTTTGTCCTCGTTCGTGAATGGTTTGAGTGTTTGAAAGATGTCTGGAATCTGGGGGGACAACTGGGAAGACACTGAGGTGTAAAAATCAAACAGTTGTAAGCAAATCATGTAACACGATGTTTGATAAGCACAAACCAAATGTAGGTAGAGTGAAAAACTAATACAATGTTTTTTTTAAAAAAATATAGGCATTTGTCCTTAAGGTACCACTACATTTTTGTCTTTTTTAAATTTTTTCTTTGTTATTGCTGGATACGTTTGCACAGGCTAACACAGATATCTCTTACAAACCCAAGGACTGCTTATTCAGAAATAGATGTACTGGGATGAATGTGAGGTATACACCACATGGATACTATACACCGGTCTTGGACGACAGACAACCCCCTTCATCAGAGTTTTCCAGACAGAGTTTGGGTTATTGACCTCCAAAAAGTTGGGTTGGATGACCCTTCCAGCTCTGTGATTCTGTGACTTTAATATTTCCACATTTCTAGATGTGTCAATTGCAGCTCTTCCAAAGGTTGCCATACCCAATAAGGGAAATGCATGCCCATCAACCATTAGCTCTAATGGGAGCACAGCCATTGTGGTTACAAACACAAAGTATTTCATTTGCATCATTTCATTGGAGTGATTTCCTTGCTTCTTTGTGGGTTTCCTCCAGGATGTCCTGTCGGGCGCTATGGCCCGAATTGTGACAGGCAATGCAACTGCAAACATGGAGGCCAGTGTGTGACGACCACAGGGGTGTGCCAGTGTCCTGCTGGGTATTTTGGAGCGGACTGTGGTACTCGTAAGTATGAAATGTGAGGAAGTATAAGGAAGCAAGTGGTTAGCACAGTGGATGGCGTCAAGATGGGCTCAAAATTAGAATAACCGACATGGTCGCATATGATCTTCAGAGAGGAACTGCCCCAGTGCTAGATGGGAGATTTCTTTCTGAGAAGAAACCTTGGACCGAGCTAGGCCTAGCTAGGCCTCGAAGCTTTGTCATGTAGGCCTTTCTCCCAGGCGAGCCACAGTGAGCTGTCTCCAAGGAACTCCCAACATGGAGAATTGTGGACTTTGGAGTCCAGAAAAATCTGAACATCCCATATCTACAGTAGTACTTCTTTACCTCCTAGTCCCAACCTCAACTTATAGAGAGGTTGAAGAAACAGGATCTTTTCTGTGATGGCCGGTGTGCCATAAAGATCTTGGCCATGATCTCCCACATTTGTGTTGTCTCTACCGAAGATGTTTTAATTCAAATAGGGGTTTGTTTTTAGTTTAATTACTTGTTATCAGCAATCTCTGTGACTTGTGAATGGTGCTTATAAAGAGTGTGTTATTCACATTAGATACCCAGTGTGGTCTAGTGGCTTAAGTGAACTAGGACTCATGAGACCCGGGTTCAAATCCCCACTCAGCCATGGACACTTTGGGTGAGGTGTGTTGTAGAGCCGGTGAAACACTCCTTGAATATTTCACTTGCCTTTAAAGCCATAATCAGGGTCCCTGTGAGTCAGGTCCAACATGGCGGCACCATCATACATTACTGCCATGAACTTAAAGTACTACAAACAGGTGCAAAACTGTGTTATTGTTCTTTATGAGTTGGCTGGCTAGCTTCCTGGTTTAGGTCTCCAGCTGCAGAGCCAGAGGTTGGGAGTTTGATTCCCGCACTGGGCTTCCAGGAGAAAGAGGCAGCCTGGGTGGCCTTGGGCAAGCTGCGCAGTCCCAGGGCTTGCCCAGAAGAAAGGGAATGGGAAACCACTTGTAACAGCTCAGTAGTTTAGATCTCTGGCTGTGGAGCTGGAGATTGGAAGTTCAATCCCACCCCCCCAGGCATCCCAGAAGAGCCAGCCTTGGTGGCCTTTGGCCAGCTGCACAATCCCAGGGTGCCCCCTGGGGGAAGGGAATGGGAAGCCACTTGTGAGATAGCGGTAATACAGAGAAATCCTTTCTTTAACCTTGATGTTCTTTATTTCTAGCTTGCCCTGCTGGCCACTATGGTGCCGACTGTGCCCTTGTGTGTTCGTGCGGTAGCAATGCCACCTGCCATCATGTGACTGGCTCTTGCCTTTGTCCGCCAGGCAGGACAGGCCCCAAATGCGAGCATGGTAAGTGAGTGCCATGCGTTGTGCCACGCGATGATGTCTGTAGCTCTGCAGTAGGAGAGGTGGCGTTTACTCTGTCGATGTTGGTTGTGGAAGTCTGGCATTGCCTCTCCTTGCATGCTTTCAAAGCAACTCGGTTTAACAGCTACGAGGATTTGGAAGGAAGGGGTTACAAGACAGAATGGGTGCAGAAGAGAGCGTCCAGAATGGAGAAGGGTCTGGAAACTATGCTTTGAAACAGTGGTTCCCTACCTTGGCTTCCCCAGATGTTCTTGGGCTACAACTCCCAGATGCCTTCACCACGAGCTGTGCTGGCCAGGATTTCTGGGAGTTGTAGTCTAAGAACATCTGGGGACCCAAGGTTGGGACCCACTGCCTTGAACCATTGAAAGAATTGAAGTGGAGGTAGCCTGGAGGAAAGATGATGATGAAGAAGCGATAGGACAGCCTTCTTCAAATATTTGGAGGGTTGCCATACTGGATACAGAACCCACTTGTTTTCTTGTGATTCCATAGTCCAGGATCCAGAGTAACTAATTTGTACGTACTTCCAAACACCCACGACTCATTGCAGCTTGGGAAACCTGTGTTTGGACCATGAAACTCACTGGGTGGCTTTTTCCTTCTTAGAGCATCAATGCTGGACCTCTCAGTTATTTTGCAGCCATCTTCTCTAATTGCAAAACAGGCTCCAGTTCCAGGGGTGCATTAAATCCACTCTGGGTTTTACTCATTTGCTCGAGGAGCTTGAACCCATTTTACAGGCAAGGTTCAGGACCTTGGAGAGTTCTAGTAAAGCCAGAGAGTGTGAGGCAATTGAAGTTCTCTCCCTTGCCACCCTGTGACTTTGGGCAAGTGGCCATGTGACAGTCTGAGAGCACCACCAAGAGAACTTCTAAGGACTTCATGACCACAAAACACTGGAAGGATCACTATAAGTTGGAATCAACTTGACGGCACATCTCAATACCTTCTCCACCAGGTTGTCCAAGGAATCGGTATGGACTCAGTTGTAAACAGACGTGTGCCTGTCAGAATGGAGGGATCTGCCTTGCGACCGATGGCTCCTGTCTGTGTGGGCTAGGATGGACTGGGACGTTTTGTGAATTAGGTAATTCCACTTGTGCGGTCCCCTCCCTCAACACAGGTGCCATGTGTTCTCCCCAATAGGGCTGTTCTTGGGCTGCAATGCCTAGACACCTTCACTGCTAGCTAGGCTGTCTGGGGTTTCTGGGAGTTGCCCCCCAGAAACATCTGGGTGACCCAAGGTTGGGAACCACTCTACTAGTAGTGGAGCTCCTTCCATTGATGGATTTCTACTGCTGTTCCCTGCCTCCACTGATAAGTTGTGGGGTTTTTCTTCCAAAGGGTTGGAGCTTCTTGTAGGTTGAAGTTAGCAAGGATAAAGCTCCCTAGCATGTCTCTCAGCTCCTCCTGGCTGCGAGGTTTTAAAAGTCAAAAATCACTCTCGGATCCCTGCTGGCTGTGCTCTGGCAGCAATTTTTGATGGTTAAAGGCTCCCTCCTCCAATCCCAAGGACCCCCCCCCCAATGTAAAAGGGAGCCTTAGAACTAAAACAAGGGCATAGGAAGCATTTAATTAATTAAAGCTCAAAGTTACTGGCTCCAGCTGATGGGAGCATTAACATCCACTGGAGTAAAATTATGCTTCAGTGATCTGTTTATGAATCCATCTGTGTTTTAGCATTAGCACATTAGTTTCCTTTACTGTTCACTATCATAGGAACGTTTCTCATGGTTTGGGTATACACTGCGAGCGGTGTAGGGACAAATCTTTGGGACGCTAGTTGATATTTTTTTTAACCCCCCGAGCCTAAAAGATGGTAGTCAATGGAGGTATTGTGTTCTGTGCAGGATGCCCGCCAGGGAGGTATGGCGCCAACTGTGAGCTGAATTGCACCTGCAGAAACAACGCAACCTGCGATTCTGTGACCGGAGTTTGTCGCTGTGGAAGAGGACACTATGGGAACTTGTGTGAACACGGTAAGTCCTGCATAGAATCCATTGCGTTTGGTCCACAGATCTGTTGATAAGATCCACTAACCATTGTCCCGCTAGGTGAGGAGTGGGCTAAGCCTGGTGTATTCCATCAAGGGTCCTTCAGAAGGGCTGGACCCAATGATCCATTAAGGTCCTTTCCAGCTCTCTCGTTCTAAGATGAGGATCTCATTCTCTGTAGTCCACTCCTGTGTAGGTGTCCTGGGTACTAGAGCATTGGAATCGTTTTGCATGGGAACGATCAACAGGGCAAGGAGGGCCAATTCAAGAAGAGGGTTTGGTGAGAGAGACATCTAGCTGAATGGTCCTCAAGTTTAGCTAGGACTAGATGGCCTGATGTGGGGGATGCGACGAGAGAAAGGTGTGCTTCATCAGGAACAAGAAGCCGTGGTGACTACATAGGGTTGGGCTTAAACTACAGGCGCTCTGTGGCCCTGCAGCTGGATGGGAACACTACCAGCTCCAGGCACTAGAGTGTGCTCTAGTTGTCTCAGACCATGTACTAGCATGGCGCCATCTTAGGTTTACGACGTCAGTGATGTCACCCTTTGAAAGGTTACAATCCCAGCCCAATCCTGATAGGTGCTTCCTCTCAAAACACAGCACAACACAGTGCCTGAGCGTCGTCTTTCATTCCAAATCCTGACATTGCACAGAAATCATTACACATTTCTTACATGTAATTCACTACATTGAAATTCGGGCTTTGTGCCCTCATTTTTATCAGTTTCTACTGTGGGCCATCTTGAATGTCTTTTGAAGCCAGATATTTTTAATATAGGCCTGACACAAATAGAGGTGGCTACTATGTTTATTTATTCACTGGTTAACCATTTCTAGAAGCATATCTCAACTAACAAGAAATTCTTTCACACCAAAGACATGATTGACAAATTTACAAATCTTTACAAATTTGCACAATTTACAAATCTTTACACATTTCTTACATGTAATTCACTACATTGAAATTCGGGTTTTGTGCCCTCATTTTTATCAGTTTCTACTGTGGGCCATCTTGAATGTCTTTTGAAGCCATTTATATTTGAATATAGGCCTGACACAAATAGAGGTGGCTACTATGTTTATTTATT